CCCAAACAATCAATCTCAAAAAAACTCGTTTTTTTTTTCTTCCAAAAAAAAAAATCTATTAAGAAAAAAATGTCTTCAACTTTCTAATAAATTAATAATATCCATAAATAAATAACATTTTAAATCAATAATGAATAGTAAAATTATTACCTTTAAACTATTTTTGCTTGATGAATTTATTACAATATATAAAGCTAATAATGGTTTAACATCTGAAGCATTAGAAGCCTTTGATCAATTTTTAACAATGTTAAATAGATATTTTAACATTTTGGAAAAATTAACAAATAATACAATCGCAAATAATGATATAAACAATGAAACTATAACTATTAAATGGTATGGTTCAGTAATATCCAGTAGTAATACCATTTGGGCAAATTCTAATTGGTATCAGCAAGCAGTTTTTGATGATATTTCAATTAATATGCATAATGATGAAATTGAAAATTACATTACTAGCAATGGCATGTGTTTTGGAAAGGTAGGTTAAAATCATCAGTTATTCTAATATTTTAATTACTACCATTTTATTATGTTTAAAAAGGTATTAATGCTATGTTTAGTCAATATTTCATATAATATGAATGTTCATGGTTAGCAACTTACAAAAAGCAATGAATTTTTTTGTGAATATTTTCACGTTATAATATGTAATCATATTTTTATTTTAGTAAAAATTTACTCCGGGTATTCAGTTCGAATTAATAATTGATATTGTTTGCAAATCACTTTGATGTTCAATGAATTTTCATTATTAGATACTGCATATTATGATAAAATGATGTTCATTAACGTTAAAATTAACGTAAATTGCGATGTATATGATCCGCAAATGATAAACATGCGATATACATTTTTTCTGTAACTTACTGATGAATTAAATAATGACAGTTAACTCTTATAGTCACATTTCTTAGAATCAAAAAAAAAAATCGTGTAAAAAAGTAATATGATGTGTTTATAAAAAAGATTCCATAAGTTTATTAGTAACTTAAGCCTAACATGTAGTATAACTTCATAGATAGTGATTTATTTATTTCGTTTCACATAATTAAATAAAAAACCTTTTATTTAAAGTTTAAAAAAAAAAGTTTTACCATTCAATAATCGATTGTTTAATTATTAATTGGTAATGTAATCGTTTAAAATACACGGAATTCCTATGGAAATATTTTTATAGATGTCTAGTAATATTTACTGCACATTTTATTTCATATTTATTATCCTAATCCTATTATTTCATGCATGATGCAAAAAGAACTTTTAATAAATCAAAGTTTTCTTAAATTCGTGGGGAAAAAAAAAAAGAAAAATTTTTTCAGCCTAATTTATAAATTAGGGAGAATAATTGATTTTGACGTTTTTATTTTTTTTTTCTTTATAAATTTAAATGAATCCTTTTTGAAATGGTACATTTCTGACGAAAATCGACGTGACGCAAGACAATATCTTTTTTTGTTTGATTAGAACGAGATTTATTAATGATTCTATATACAATATTACGGTGAAATGATAAAAAAAAAAAAAAATGTAACATCTTTCAGGTTTCAAATATAAAGAACAAGAATGTTTTCGATCACGTTTTTAAGTAAGTATGCAGTTATATGTAAGAATGCAGATTTACGATTACAAACCACAAACTACAAGAAATCAGTAATTGTAAAATTTAATTAAAGAAAAGAAGTGAATATTGAAAAGGTAATTAAAATAAGATTTGAAACTATTAATACGTGTAACCATGTAGAGTGATTTTATTTGAATCAACAAAGATATTTGGATTTTCTTAATATAAAAAAAAAAAAGATTATCTTGGGGAAAGAAATTTTTTTTTTCTTTTTTTCTTTTTTTCTTGAGAATCTTTTTGTTATTGACGTAATTTGATGTACAAAGAAAGAGGTTTCAAAAAAAATAATATAAAAGTCAAAATAAAAAATATGATTAAAATGCAAATATAACAATAATGATGATGAGAAAAATTGTCGGAGGATTAACTGTAATAACAATATGGGATCCTTGTTAGGAAAATTGGGATCTAGGGGATCCACCAATCAGGTTTTGAAAGAACCCCAAAACCTCATACAAACGAATCAACTGATTTATATTTTTAAAAAAAATCAATTAGGATAGGTCGTGGGAAGTTAATCTTGAATGGACCCCTTGAACAATTCATCATGGAACAGCTGACCTTCGATAATCAGAATCAAAAGTAAAATGGAAGAAACGATTCCAAAATGTTGGAATTAACCACATATAGTAAATGTTTCACCACGTAAAGAATAAGAAAGAATATAGCCAAAAGATCAAAATGGATTAATATAAAAAAAAAAAATGTTAAGGTGGCGTTCATGGAGTACTTTTTTTTTTTTTTTTAACGCCATAATTGTTTTATATGCACTTATTATTTTATTTTTGTTGGAAGAATGCCCAAATAAGGAAGATTATACGTTCTTTTACCTTCTTTACCAATCTTTTTTAATATTACCTTAACTTTAAAGCTTTCGATTGACGATCGACTTAAAAAAGAGTGACACTAACATTCCATATAGCAGGTTTAAATGATAAATATGGATAACTAGAAGGGAAAAAAAAAAAAAAAAAAAAAAAAATATAAAAGCCTTTTTTTTTGTGTATGTGCGCTCTTGTTTCCCTATTAGCATTAAACCTTTACAATTTATTTTTTTTTTTTTAATAACTTAACGTTAAAAATTTCTCGTCTCATTTAATATTATATCTTTTCTTGTGTATTTAATTATCCAGTCAAGGGAAAACTTCCACAAAGAAATCTTTGTTTAAAGAAAATATTGATGCAAATTGTTCGTAAAACTATTCTTTTACATTTTTAAATTAATAAAACCTCTAAATAAGGTGATTTTTGACAAATCGCCTAAAAGAAAAAATAATAATTGAAATGACATCAACTTCCTCAATGTCTGAAACCTCAACCTTATTCAATATAAGTAATCGAAGTCCTCATAACACGGATTTTAACAACGGCACCAATGATCCTTCTAACGGGGTTGATGTTCGACGAAGTTCCTTGCAATATATATTAAATCAAAATCAAGATATCAATGGTTCTTACGATTATTGGGATTTTCAAAACAATGAAGGTGATGATGATGATGATGATGTGAATTATTCCGATAACTATAATAACGATAATTATTATGATTCATATTATCCGGATTCTCGTTTTGATTCAACTCACCAGTTTAACTCGGAATATTTTCAATATTCCTCGCCTATTCAACAATACTCTTCTCATGGTAAATTAGTTCCTCCTCCTCCGCCGCCGATGGAAATGGATATACTGGAAAATGATCAAATACTTTCTTCTGATGAATTTAATTCTATATTTGAATCTTTTGCTACTGTTGTTGAAGGTCATAATCAGAATAACAACAATAATATAAATTATTTTAATGAAGATGGTGGTTTGAAAGGTGTAAATTATAGCAATGGTTTATTGGAGGACGAACAGTTAGCCAAAGCTTTGAGTGTTATCGCCATGATCTGAATTGGAACTTTCAAAACAAGTGTATTTATTTGTTTTGATTTGTTGCTTTTTGGTACCTTGACGAAAATAATTAATTTTATTTTTATGATAATTTAATGAATTATTTCAAAAAAAAAAAAAAACAAAAAAAAAAAAAATTAAAAATTAAAATAAAAAAAATAAATAAATAAAATAATAATAAACTTGAGATTTCTTTTTTCGAGGACGGATAATTAAATAAACGAGAAAGAATAATCATGAGAAGAAATTAATAACGAGAAATTTTAATACATTCATTTATTCATACTTTATTCAATTTGAGGTTGATATTAATAATTTGTTAATAGAATAGTTTTTAATTTAATTCACTTTTTTGCATTGATATTTTCTTTTCAAATGATAATAATAAAAGTTGATTATATATATTGATTGAACTTTTGTATATATTTGTCTATCTCGCGTAGTAATAAAACGTTATTTTTAATTTCATAAAAAAAATTACAAATTGATATATGGCGCAATATATTTCGTAGACGAATCACGTGAATAAAGTGGACAACGCGGAGAAACATGCATCAAACCCCAAATTCATCCTATTATATAAATTATGATTCTTTAATTTGCACATAACCCAACATCTTTAACGTGTCGAGAAAAAAAAAATTTTTATCACCATCATTAGTTTTTGACCTACGCAATTTAATTTCAGATAAATAATAGAACTATTATATATACATGTTCATAAACTTATTAGATATCGTAATGCGAAATCTCCACAACCGATGAAGATTCGAATAACCTAATGTTCGAATCGCACCAATAAGTGTCAAAGACACGTTGTATCTACACAAAAAAAAAATATTATTATTTTTCCAAAGAAAATTATATTAGAGACTGCCAAAAAAGAGAAATCAAGGAAAAATCTTTCAATGAAGAAAGGGACGTAAAAAGGAATAATTTGAGATCGCGAAAATTTACCAATTGAATTCTACCAAAGTGTCCTTTCTTGACTTTTTTGAAAGGTGCACGATTCTCTAAATAGTTTTTTTCCTCCGGATCTACCATATCATTACCTTATAATCCAATTTTTTTATTTTTATGAAAATCTTCTTATCAACCTTATCTACGTGCCCTTCGATTTTTCGATTTGATTTAACTATAAATAATACAAGCGACATAATGTACAAACGCGTCTTTCCTTATTATTAGATGATCATAAATTAAATTATAAATTAATTTAAAGAGGAAAAATTATCCAAAAAAAGAATTATTATAATGATAAGTTTATCAAAATAAGGAGATACTCCAAATAAAGAACCAAACAAAACTTTAATAAAGGACTTTGTTTATTTGTTTTCGATAAGGGTAATTGTACGAACAAGGTAAAAACAATAAATGGCGCAATTTACCGGGCTCTGTTTGGCACAAGTAGCTTCAAAGCTGGCGCGAATTAATTAATGTAATGCATACGTAATTAATTTTAAATATACCTCGTATAAATAAATAAAAAAAAGATTGTAGCGATTTCAACTCTTTTTGAATTTAGTAAGAAAGGAAGGGTACAGCCGGAAAAACCAAAAATGAGTTAAATTCGGATGTTTCAGCCCGAAAAACATTGGACGTTACATTTTTTTTGAATATCTAAATACAACATCACCCTAACGAAATTTGGTTATTTATTATGCATGGATATGCACCTTTTATGTACGATTGGATTATAATTTTAAAATCGGTTGGTTGATTTCAATGTACCCCATCCTATTACAAGCAGAGAACCTTTTGTTTTGTAGGAAAAAAAAAAAGGAGTTAGGATTGTCTGCACTTTATCTTGTTTATCATCCCCATGAAAAAAAAAAAAATTATAGACTTTTTTTTTCATTTGTCGAATAATCTAGATCTGATTACGCACAGCAAACAACAAACAAATTTTTTTTTTCTTGTTCCAAAAGGTTAAGGCTACAGATAGAATTAAAAATTTTCAAGTTTAGTTTCCCCCTTTTTTCCCTAATGTTACATTGCTTGCTTCCGGTTGTCAAACTCGAGATAAGTTATCAGCTAACCGGTTTTGTAGAAAGTTGGCTCTTATCAACCGTGAGACATTTCTCTTGATATTTTTGACATGTATTGATTTTAGTCTATTTTAGATTACAAAAATCATTTAGGTTCAACCTGTAATAAAAAAAGCTGATGTACAATTAACATTAATTGTAACGATAATTGATGAGTCATCACATGTGGTCACAATACAAATAAATATAATTCAGTTATTTTTATAATCGGCAAAATCTCTGGAAAAAAATAACTCCCATTTTATTTATTACAATCGACAAGTTTTTGCCAATCCCATGCCAAGAATCTAGAGTCTCAGCCTTATTCGCTAGCATCCCTAATTCATCCTATTGAACGATTTTCTAAAATAATACTTTTGTTTTCAATATAAAAACCCTCAACTTTCACCATCCCTTTTCTACAGTTTCTTTCAAACAAATTTTATAATAGCTTTAAAAAATATATTCTTAAACAATACGCAATTTGTCCAAATTGTTTCCAAAACTCATTTCCTTTATTTACGACTTTCTAATTTTCAATTTTTAACGAATCATACCCAAACAATCAATCTCAAAAAAACTCGTTTTTTTTTTCTTCCAAAAAAAAAAATCTATTAAGAAAAAAATGTCTTCTATTACCAATACTTCCAACACTCAAACCCTCCAAAAATACATTTCTCTCGACCAAGGCGGTAAGGTCCAAGCCGAATACATTTGGATTGATGGTGATAGCGGCCTCCGTTCAAAGACCACAACTCTTGATTTTAAACCCACTGACGTTTCCGAGTTAAAAGAGTGGAATTTCGATGGTTCTTCCACCAATCAAGCTCCTGGCGACAATTCCGATGTTTTGTTGAAACCCGTTGCCATATTTAAGGATCCCTTCCGTGGTGGTGACAACATCTTGGTGTTGAATGAATGTTACAATAACGATGGAACTCCCAACAGGACAAATTATCGTTATTCTTGCGCAAAAGTTATGAAAGCTTATGCTGATGCCAAACCATGGTTCGGGATTGAGCAAGAATATACCTTATTTGATATGAATGGTTCCGTACTTGGTTGGCCAATAGGAGGTTTCCCGGGTCCTCAAGGACCTTATTATTGTTCCATCGGTGCAAATGTTGCTTTCGGACGTGATGTTGTCGAAGCTCATTATCGTGCATGTCTCTACGCCGGAATAAATATATCAGGTGTAAATGCAGAAGTGATGCCCGGACAATGGGAATTCCAAGTCGGTCCTTGTGAAGGAATTGACATGGGAGATCATCTTTGGGTTGCAAGGTACCTCTTACAACGGGTTGCCGAAGATTTCGGTATCGTCGTATCTTTTCATCCTAAACCAATAAAAGGTGATTGGAACGGTGCCGGTTGTCATACAAATTATTCAACAAAAGCAATGCGAGAAGAGGGAGGAATAAAAGCAATACACGATGCTATCGATAAGATGGCAGCCCGTCACATGGAGCATATAGCTGTATATGGTGAAGACAACGATCAACGTCTAACGGGTAAACATGAGACCGGTCACATATCGCAATTCTCTTATGGTGTAGCCAATCGCGGTGCCTCAATTCGTATACCGAGACATGTTGCCGCCGAAGGGAAAGGGTATTTGGAAGACAGACGTCCGGCATCTAATATTGATGCTTACCGTGTCACTCAAGTTATTGTGGAATCTTCTCTCGCATAAAAAAAAAAACTTTGGAGAAAAAAAAAATATTAAGTGTGAAATTAACTTTTCTACATTTGTATTTTAACGAATTCTTCTTTAGATGTTAATATTTTTTATATTTTGGAAATGGGTTTTATAAATTTGGCAAAAAAAAATTAAAAAAAAATTTTTTTTCTTTTCAATGCATTATATATCTTTTTTGAGGTTTTTTTTACTTTAATTACTAATTTTTTTAAAAAAAAAAAAAAAAAAAAAATCACAAATAATAATAAAAAGCATGTCGTGTCGACCTTTTTTTTCTCACACAAAAGAAATCACAACTCCTCTTCCCTTCCCTTCCCTTTTTTTTTCTTCTTTCTTTTTCTTTATCTTTTTACCATTATTCCTCTTTCACTTACATATCAAAGGAGAGGATTTCCTTTTTTTTGAAAAGAAAAGGAGCGGAGGAGAAAAAAGTTAATGGTTATACCTAAAATTTTTTTACATTGGTTCTCTTTATTGAGATATATGAGGGAAGAAGTATTTGTTGTGTCCTTTTTAAATGAAATAATATGCGTTTATTTCTTTCAACGTCGGCCAATAATTAACGCATACTCAAAACAGATCATATATAATTGTATTGAAAGAAGTAAGAACAAGCGTTTTAGTCAACGCAATCAACGCAAAAAAAAAAAAAAAAAAAGAAAAAAAAAAATTCACTTCTCTTACTAGTTAATTCTATGTTGAGAGAAGTTTGTTTAAAATAATATTATATTTTTTATTTATGTAAATTTTTTGTAAATTTTTGTTATATATGCTTGACAGTATATTGCATTATGAAATTTAGTATATATTTTTAGCAATTACTCTTACCCTTTATTTTTTTAAGGATTTCTTATGAATTTTTCTTTTTTCATTTGAAAAAAGAAAAAATTTTAAAAATTTTAACTCACAATAACTCTATAGTAAATAGTTTACTTTTTTTTAAATAATTTGTAAAAATACAAAAAAACAAAAAACAAACAAAAACTAAAAAAAAAAAATCAAGTTTGTTTTTTTTTAAAAAATATTAGGATTAATAAAATTGTAAAGGAAGACTCTCATGAAAAATAATTAATCGTTACTTTGTCCCTTGTGAAATGAAATATTACATGATCGCCCGAAAAAAAATCTACAATAATTTTTTCCCGAGATAAAATAACGAGAAGAAATTGTCACAAAACTTTGGAAAATTGAATAAAGTTTTTTTTTTTTGGTAATAATGACAAATGTTCTTTTGAGCAGAGTTCTTCAAATGCTTTATACTTCTAGTCGGAATT